CCCCCAAAACCCCAAAACCCCAAAACCCCAATTAGAGTCATCAATATTGAAGTGTGTCAACTTAAGATTTGAAGTGCTGCATCATTGAACTGCTCTTGTCTGATAGTCTGCCTAGAAATCTTTGCGAGTCAGTTTCTTCTTCATCCGCGAGTACAGAAAGTTTTGGAGGCTAAGCGTGAGCTGATGACTTACACAATGTCTGATTGGATTTTCAAAGCGTCGATCTTCAACTTGGTAAAGGTTTTGGTGTCGTTCTTGATGACTTTCTCGTATTTCTTCTTGAAAAGCTTGGTGTCGTCCAGCTGGCTCTTACACATCTAATGGTGAACAACCGAGTACCTGGATGATTTTGTGGGGCTTCTTGCTGAGACCTTTTGTTTTGGCTCGCTTCATTCGCTTTTTGACTCTGGTTCTTCCGAGAGGTGACACTTCGTCCACAGACTTGAGAAGCAAGTTCGAAGCTGTTGAACGCTCTCCATTATTTTTGTTGTGGCTCTGGTTGAGCTTGAGACCACTCTTGGGTTTGATTCAGGAATCGGCAGGTTTACTTCTGAGACGAGTCCTTCTAGACTCAAACACTTTGGAAGTGTGGGGTCTCCGTTTATGATTAGAAGACGGATCTCCGACACTAAAGGTCATTGTAAAAGTACGTTGAGTCAAATTCGAAGGAAGACTTAATTCAGAATTGGCCTATCTCTTCTTGGAACTGCCTACTCGTTTCTAGACTATAGAGCCAATCCTACCTTAATCTTTTTAATCTCTTGCTTAAGCTGTTGAGTGTCCTCTTCCGTCAGAATTGTGTCATCTAAGCAATCAGAGATCAATAAATAACCATAAAAATTATGCAAATTCTTTCAGACTTACCATTATCAGCGATTCTTTTAGAGTATTTCTTAGCCATTTTAAGTAAGTCTATATCTTAATTCCCTCACATTACTAGCTTTGACATCTGTTTTATACAAATACGAATAAGTGTTTTGGACTTTCATTTTCTTATAACTTTCGAAATCTAGATCGAATCCTCTCTGCCTATTTCCATTTCTCGTCTTGTTCCTATTGTTATTTTTCTGAGTAGATCCTTCTCTCATGCGTTGATAATCGTTCAAATAAAGTGTGAGGTTACAAAACTCCTTATGCTCCTTGACATCGTAAGAAATGGGGTTAATGAAGTTGTTTGTCTGCACAAGTCCTTTATTCATCCTAGACACTCTTTTATTGGAAGCATAGCTTATGAGACTTGTGTCTGTCTTCTTTGGTCTAACCGCACTCTGCAGCCTCTTCTTATTTCTTTCATTAGGAGCTATTGATCACTTTTGTTACCTTACTCTTTGAATAAACTGATCCTCCCCCAGCAGGTGTCTCACCTGCGGTATAAATATTAGTCATTGAAGTTGAGAGGTATCCTTTCTGGACCATTTTCTTGTAGCCTCTGGCTTGTAACTTATTTAGTCAATTTTTGCATTTGTTTTAGGATTTTATCACCTTTTCTACAGACTATATAGCTATTTATAAGACAATTCAAGTTTATTTATTCAGAAAATCACCAAAAGTATCAGAAATATAACTGATTGGGAACTCCTAGAGGGAAAAGTATTGAAAATATTGATGAGTAGCACAGAGTATGCATCAAAGAGATGCTATCATCTTTAAATTTCTGATATGTGCAATAACTTTACTTGTAGTTTTATTCTTCTTCTATATGTATTAATTTGGGCAAAAATACCTCCTCTTTCTTTTTAGTTCTTCTTGCGATATGTTCATTTTTATTTAACTTATTTTAACTGAATTTGCATTGGAGTTTCGTATGAACTATTTCTTTTATTTAAGATCAGAATCTTCTTGAGTAGGCATTACTGCTTCTTGAGTTCCTATTAAACAACACCTCAACACCATAACTACCCCTCCTAACCCCCAGACCTACTTAAATCCCCCTTAAAAATCCACAAAAAAGTTTCTGAAATTCTAATAAAATCCCAAAATTAAGCAAAAAATAGAGGAAATTCTAAAAAATCAGTAAGGATCAGGGACAGAGCAGAACAAGGTTTTTGCGAAGTGATAGTGAAGGTACTTGGTCTTATAGCGATGTTGATAGTCTTTCTTCGAAGGTTTTGTTGCTCCAGTGCTGTATTTTGTGTTAAAATTTATTTTGAAGTGAGAGTTGAAGGGAGATTGGGAGTTTATTGATTAGATGCAAGATTTTGTATACATATGCATTAAAGTATTTAGATAAATAACATAACTCAAGTATAAACAAAGTAAATCTCAAAATCATACCCTTCTTATCTTCCATGAATAAAATTATTTCAACTATTTAAAAAATCTCAGGGGTTTTGGGGTTTTGGGGTTTTGGGGTTTTGGGG